ATAACCCCAAGGCCAATATACCCCTCGGATTATGTAAGTGTTATGTGATGAAGTAACTCACAGTTACTAACAAAGGCACCTCTAACCACCTTATGGTTAGGTAGGACTACACTTACCATTGCTATGAAAATAGTAGAGTTCTTTGATTATCAGGTTGATTAATTGTCTAATACTACCAATGAACCTAGGATGATAGAAAATTATTGTTATCTTGACCAGGGATGTCATACCCTATTTTTAGGTTATTCTATACCTATTTAGTCTCCTTATAGACCTTAGACATTCTTAAAAGTTAATACTTTAATTTTTTTATATCAAATCAGACGGATGATGTCCATTTCATCTAGAAATAAAATCTAACTTATCATGCCTCTTACATCTAATAATTAAATCCAATTCACCATATCCCTTCCATTGACAAAGCAAACACAAAATTTTTTTTGAACTCCTTAAACCCACTAATTATATCTAAACCTTTCAAATCCAACTGATCTAATCCAAATAAATTCCATCAAACATCATCCCAATTCTGTTAAATCTAACTCACTTCAACTACCATCTAATTTTAATCTTTACCTCCATCTCAAAATTGGTTAAATCCTTTCATACGTCTTTCCACGACACATCGTTGTTGGACTGTAAGTTCCAACCATGAAAATTTATAAATAAATCCCTCCAAATCCTGATCATTTCCATCATATATCCTTAAAATAACAATCTTAAAATGCTAATCTTAAAACACCAAACTTGAAATCCTAAATAACATTGGTCAATACTTTAATCAAAAGTTTTCTGAGTTCACAACTCCTATGATGTAATTAACTATGAGGGATTTTATTTATAGGGATAATAGAGCTCATAATTAATATAAAACTTATTTTACACTCATGAGGTAAGGAAAATTTTGTTCTTAGTCCCATTGGGCAGTGAAGCAATCACTTCAAGATTGTATCCATCATAGAGTAGTATTTTTATCCCTAGGGATAATATACTACACTTTCCTATCGTATTCGATCACAAATGAAAAATTTTAAAATTTTTATGCATGACATCAAAAATAAAACAAAAATATATATAACTACAGTTTATACATTACTTTTTGATGGTTGACTTGTAATAATGATAGAGTGAGAATCAATTTTGTGTGATGAAGCCCAACCCATCTAATTTATATAGTTACTAAAATTTACAGGTCTGGAGAGAGGCTCCTTGGAATTGAATAGTAGATATGGGTGAAGTTCTATAGATCTCGGGCTAGTCCTAAATATCATCACATGAGGGAGCAACGAAGTAAAAGGCGAGCTAATTATAACTATGGTGGCATGGCAGGTCCCTCCATATTGTTAGCTTAGTATCAAAAAATGAATATAAGATAAGAGTAATAACAATCAAATCATGCATATATATAAAAATGCAATATTTATTAACTTAAGAATTTGTATAGAGAATTAAAGAAGTATTGCTAGTAGAGACTCCATACTTGTAGAGCTACACACTAAAATCATTAACATTAAGGGAATGAGTGGTGAGCAAATAGTAGATTGCATTAAGCCTACATATATATAAATAAGCATATATTTTGCATAAATCAAGATCATATTTTTTCTTCCTAATATATTAATTTTCTTATGATAAGTTTTTATTGTTGAAAGATACACAAAGTTAAGAAACCCTAAAAGAAGGTTCTTTGAGAAGGTATTCTGAATAACCAAATTATGTCTCTCTCTCTCTCTCTCTCTCTCTCTCTCTCTCACACACACACACACACACACACATGTGTGTGTGTGTGAAGAAAGAAGAACATAATTTAGGGTTTAAAAGGTGCATGGTGAAGCATATGACATGTGCAACCATCCTTTTCTTTTCATATATCCAATACATTCAATTAGCTATAAAGTCAATACTTAAATGGTGACACATAATTTTGAGTGACTACTTAGATCACCATGATGCAACAAGAGGTTAAGATTTAACATGCTAAAATATGAAAGGGAAGCGATCGATACTATGAGAGGAGGATGAGGTAGAACATTAAGAAATAACAAAAAAATAGTGAGAAATAGTACTTTCAAAACTTGAATAGTGTTCATGTATTTCTTTTGAAAAGTTTAAGCTATATTTATATGTTGTAATTTATTACATTTGAATTAAGAAGATTATGTAGTAAGAATATCTTTCGAGATTATTTTTATGATATTGTTATGTGTGGATGCAAGTAATTAACTCTAATTGTAAGTTAAAAAATCAAGGTTCCGAAAACTGGACCAAACATTATTGAATTGGTAGTATGAGAGGTTCACTATTCAAATGTTGAATAGTGGTTGAACCAAGTTTAACTAGGTGGGCTAATAAATCATAAATATATTTAAAAATGACAATAGATAAGATTTACGTAACACTCAATTTTATGTATATAAATATCTAACATTTAAAATCCAATTTTAACATGTCATTTTATCCACGCATGAAACTTGCATTTAACTTTTTAAAAATAGTGATATTTTATATGATATGGATGATTTTGGCAGTATAAATGTAAAAATAGCTTATGTGTTAAATATGTACTTAAATAAAATTGGGTGGCATGTATCTAAATTGAATTTCTTTGTAATTGTGACATTTTTTGATGTGATATTAGTGATTTGGGTGGTACAAATGTAAAAAAATAAAGTTTAGGTGTAAGATATGTAAATTACATAAAATTGGTGGCATAAATATAAAAGGAAAAACAATTTGCAGTTTAGGGGTCAAACAGGCTGGTTTTTGCCGGTTCCAAGCAGGTCCAAACCAGTTCAATCTGGTTGGATGCAGGGGTGGTTTGTAAGCCAGCTAGCCGGTTTGGTAACAGCTGTAACATTGTGAAAGCGTAGTGGTTGCACTTTCTATTTTCAACATAGATTTCCAGTGAAAGATAGTAGTTATTGATATTGTTTTTTTGAGCCAGATATTGCCGGTTGCATTTATTGGCAAACAAACAAGCTGAATTAGCCATTAAGTACTAAACTAGTAAGATGGTTCACATCCTTATCTCTGGCACTATAAACTCAACTTTTGAGGCAATCCACAAATACTTCAAGATGTAACTTTAAATCCTTTTGCCCATAGGATCGGTGTCAAAAAAATTTTCTAGTAGCCTTTTTCTAGTTGAAATATGTATCATATGTGGCATTTTTTTGCAAATGATATGCTATTAAAAATTTGATGAAAAATAGATTTTTCCACTATTTTTTGAATTTTTATTTGGCAAACAAGTCTGCCAGTATAGTGCCAATTAAAAGAGTGATAAATTTTTAGGACTTATCTATCTTGACTTGATCCTTGCCTTAAAGGTGCTAAAATGCAAATCTAGACAAGCTATATTTTATACGATTCCAACACTCTACTTAGTAGTAGTCCGTACAACACGATCAAATGTAGATCTAGCAAGATTGCATAGTAATGATAGCACTGATAGTAGTGATTCTCTAACTCATGATCATACTCCTTTAAACCTCTTTTCCATAACTGAAGAAACATTCATAAACTAACTGAATTCTGAAATTTACCACCCAAGCCTGCGCTTTCATGCGTGATTCTTATTCCCTTCATAGTCCAAAAAGCATCCGTGATGCGTCCCTGATGGGATTCTTATTCTCTTCATAAATTATATAAGGGATGCTTTTTGGACTCTTAAGAGAATAAGAAGCATCCCTTCACGGACGCTTTTTGGACTCTGAAGAGAAAAAGATTCACGCAAGAGGGGTGCTTTCCTATTTAGTTTATTAGGTTCATCTGAAACTATTTCGGTTCTCTCAATTTTCCTCCTACACTTGGGAGAATGTCTAATAGTCCAACGGGCCGGGCAATATATAGACAGCTTAAGCATCTCTACCAAACTAGTTTGCTTGATCTTATCATCTTCTAGATGGCGTACATTTCATCGATATAGGAAGGTAGCATCACTATGAATTAACTCCTTCAAACAGATCGTGGATTACTACATGTTCATTCTAAAGTGTTGTTCACTTTTTATATGGATGTTGTTATATGCAAGTGAGTTAGCTCGTTAGCTAGATATCAATGATAATTAAACGTTTAGGACAACCCTACATGGACAGCCACTAGTAGCTTCAGTGAGACCTTTTCCAAATGATCCTAGTGGGCCTCCAGAGAAAGAATCGCAATGCCATTCACATTCATGATAATGCAGAGTGATCTCGATTTTATTTTCCATCACAATATCATATGTACGCCTCACGTGTTTAGCCCTTGATTAGGGCTGTCAAAAAAGCTCGTTGTTCGCGAACAGTTCGTGTTCGGTTTGTCAATGAGTTCGTGTTCGATTCGTTCGATAAGTAAACAAGACAAACGCGAACAAATTTTTTTTGTTCGGTTAGTTAAACGAACCAAACACGAACAGTGATGCGTTCGTTCTTGTTCGAATCGTTATTGTTTGAAATATAAAATAATATAAAATAATTATATATAAAAAATTTATTATATTTTAAAACATTAAATTTTATAAATTATTATATATAATAAAATAATAATAATAATATATTAATATACTATAGTAGTAATATACTAATATAGATATTGTATATTTATATAATATAAGTTATATAATTA